ATCCTAGGTTTTGACCCCCGCTAAGGATCTCACTGATTGGCATATCAAAGACAACCCAATCCGACACATAGTGTAGTATAATAATCGAGTTTAGGGGCCATGTGTAACTTTCTAGTTTTGCCCACTAATCACCAAGGTCCAAGACAATATTGAAAATCTGGTCTGGTTCAGGGTTTCAAGTAAACCTACACTACATGTACCTCGGGTCTCACCCTGGCAGCTGAGACAGGCCACTCCAACATTTGGCGGCACATCAGTGTCAGCCTTAGCAGGATAAATCTCCCCGGACTTATCCAACGGCTGTGAACATTCTAAACTAACACGAGTCTCATTATGTGTCAAGTTTAAGGGTATTACACAGAAACACACCACAATAACATGAATCAAATATGTACTTTATTCATTTACAATAAATGTCATAATGTACATCAATCTGATTGGAGCTAAGGGCATACATTGTCTAACAAGTTGTCCCCATTTGCTCTCCTGTCTTGGTCACACTTATCCACATGATGTGGTGTCGACATGGTTGGAAGGAAAAGGTAGGGACATAGAGGTGACGCGGTGCTGACGTGGCCGAGGAGATAAGCAGGGCTACGGAGGTGACGCGATGATGACATGGCCAAAGAGATAAGGCAGCCACGTAGGCACCACGTGAAGTCCAGAGCCAGCTCAACCATAACCCAAACAGTTTCTAAGACTATAAATGCCCTATTCAATTTCCACTTCCTCAATCATGGCATCAGCATAATCACTTATGCAAATAAATGCATCCTCAAATTGAATAAAATGTGAAATTTCATAAAACAAGTTTTCCCAGAATTGAAGCTTGAGTCTCTTATTTGGTTCAGCATATAAAAAACAAGGTAGGAAATGATTTAACACAAACTAGAATAAAATGACTAGAAGCACATAGAACTTTAACATTTATATTATCTTTCCAAAAGATAGCTAACCCGCCCCCTCCCCATGACAAACCCTAAACCGAAACCACATAACAATTAGGATACTTTAGTCTACGGGTACTGAATAGACCTTGTCATTAGGGATCTTTGGTCGTTTGGTTCATAGTCAGAATCGGAATCAGAATCAAAATCCTCTGGAATCGGAATCGAAATGGTCCATTCCCATAGCCTATTTGGTTCAAACAGAAATGGAAATGTGAATTAAAATCAGCAGGAATGGGATTTCATTCCCAAGGGACAGGCAGGGAATGGCCATTTCCTCAAATGGGGGAATGCCCATTCTGATTCCGATTCCAAACCTCTATTCTTGTAAACCAAACGGGCCCTTAGTTTAAGACAAGAAAATAAAGTTAAGAGATTTCTGTTTAACAAAATTGTGGATGTTTTGAGAGCTAGCAACACCTCGACAATTCCAAGAAAATATATACAAAGAGTCTTTATTACATGCATAATTAAAAAACTTAGAAAGATTCAAATGATCTTGCTCTTGGTCACCTATCGAACCTCGGCAAGCTTGATGGTGTTGAGATTGAGCTTTGTGACTTGACTCCCAAATTCTGATTCCCTAACTAATTGATGAGGCTACAAAACATTTCTCGACCATTTCCTCTTCAATCATAGCAACCTTCCCATAAATCCCCTGAACCCCAAGTCCCCCCGACTGAGAATGCCTTTGACTACATAAGATTTGAATTGAAGAGCTTAACTCTTCTTTAACTTCACTCCTAGCCCTTTTTGAACCATGGATACCCAAGCCCAGATTCGAATCCGATAAAACATGACCCATCATCAAGCCTAGTTGGTTCAATGGAGGACCCATCCCCAAAACCAAAGGTTGAATTTCGATGAAAAGTCTACTTACCAAATCTAGAATATGGTAAGCCTTACTTAGCAAATTATCATGATCAACCCTAGATTTAGTTACCCGCGACTTGAAACTGATATGACTTGTAGGGGTGAGCAAAAAAAACCTAAAAACCAAACCGATTGAATCTAAATTAAAAAATCGGTTGGTTTGGGATTTTTAAAAAACCAAAGGTGCCAAATCAAACGGTATACATATATTTCTATATATTTTCTATATATATTATAAATTAATAAACGTGCATTATATATAATTATATATTTATAATATATTATATATTATTTATTATTTAAAATATAATATTTTATATATATATATTTATAAATATTTTTATAATATATTGTAAAAATTAAAAAACAGAAAAACCAACGAACTGAACCGATGGTTAATCGAACCGGTCAATCGGTTAACCGATTGGTTTCGGTTTGGTTCCGGTTACCAATTTTCAAAAAACCGGTACTGAACCGACCACCCCTATTGACTTGCCCCACTGTGATGTTAGACAGTGTATGCCCTTAGCTCCAATCAGATTGATGTACTTTTGACATTTATTATAAATGAATAATAGTCCCTTAACCTGGATATTTAAGGGACTCGTGTTAGCTTAGATCTTTACAGTCGTTGGATGGACCTGGGGATGTTTATCCTACCAAGGTTGACACTAATGTGTTGCCAAAACGGTTGGGTGGCTTGTCTCAACTACCAGGGTGAGACCCGAAGCACATATAGTGTGGGTTTGTTTGAAACTCTGAACTGGACCATTTTCTAGTTATGCCCTGGACCTTGGATATATATGGGCAAAACTGGAAAGTTACACCTAACCCTAGACTCGATTATGGTATTGCACTAGGTGTTGGATTGAGCTGTCTTTGATATACCAATCAGTGAGATCCTTAGTGGGGGTCAAAACCTGGGTATATTGGGGCAGTCTAAGAATTCATCTGAGTGGGTGATCATAGTGACAGAATCAGCCCCTTTGTTGGACAAAGTGATTGATCGGGGACTACACTCTCTGATGGAAATCTAAACTGTCGGAAGTGGATTTCAAACGCGTTTGAGATTTGTTTTGCAAAATATATATATATATATTATATTTTATGAAAAAGGTTTGCAAAGGTTTTAATTCCCCGAATCCATCCTGCGTAGAGAGTGCGACACTGTACCTTGCAGCTGAGGGAGAGGTCCTCTCTTGTCGGGCAGTGTTTGATCATTATGGGCTGAGAGGTTAATTGTAAGACCATTTAGGGTTTTTACCTGATGGGCTAATCTCACTTAAGTCCATAGTCCTTGGGCCTTCATAAGGTGACTGGACCCAGGGACCATTTAGTGTAAATGTTGGGCCTGCTAAGAGCCCATACCGATGGGCTCATGGGTTCATTGGGTCCAGTAGTGAATTTGGCCAGACCTTATAATAGAGGTTAGGTTGAACCCATATGGCTTTTGTAGAGATCAATGTCTGGGTCCCATGCCATATAAAGAGAGACAAATTAGCCAGCAAATTAAAAGGGAAGTGAGCCTAATATCTTAATGGGCGAATTTGAGATTAGATCTGGTTCCGGATCAGTAAGAGGATAAGATATGTCTTATCCACTTAAGAGTTCAGATTCATATAAAGATTTGGATCAAGGAATCCTTTCCAGATAGGATTAGAAAACTGATCCGGAGAGGTTATAAATAGAGGACAAAATCCTTCTATTAAACACTTTTACTGCATCCAGTTCTTGCCGCCCTACCCAGTTCGATCTCCATAGTCTTGGACTGATCAAGAATTGTTCTTGATTCTGATTTTTGCTAGAAAAATCAAATATGAAGTTGTGCTCACATCCCCTACATGATCCTAGCTGAAAGATTGCAATTCTTCTTGAAGAATTGCTTTGTTGATCCTACTTCATCCTAAGCTGTATCATTTTCAGTGGAGGCAGGATTTGGTGACCTCTTTGGGCGTGAACACCTACGTTGGGAGCTACATTTGTGGATTCCGTATCAGGTATATCCCTCCATTTCTTTTGGTTACAGATCTGGTCCAGTTTGTTTCAAGAATGAACCTTGAAAAATGCAATTTTTCTAAAATAGGGAATACGATTCCCGGAAGGGAGAAAGAAATTTTCTTTTTGAAATTTCGCCCAACCACCCTGCATGGTTCGGCCATCCATATGATTGATCTCCCTTTCCTTCATGTGAGACGTTGCCATCTCATTTGCCGCCCTTTCTACATTATGACTCCCAGTTCCTGAATAGCTACCCACTTCCCAGTTTCTACCACTTTCTCCAATAAGGCTTCCATGGCCAAAGGATGGAGGAGCTCAATTAGCTTGCCTTCTTCTTTGTTGCTCCTCCATGTATTCTCGAAAATCTAGGATTTTTTAATCATCTTGAAATTGGTTCTCAACTCAGAGCCATGGCCTAAAGTTCCTCTCAGACGTTTGGTTTTGCTGTCGTGACATCAAGGAGGTTGCTTTGAGAAGAAATTTTACTTTTTAGTGGTGTTCGAGGAAAACAAATGAAGTGCATATTGCATCAAAATGTGGTCTGAAGTCTAGTTTTAAATCTTGTTTTTCTATTCCTTTATGGTTATAGAGTCTAGTTTTAAATCATGTTTTTCTCTTCCTTTATGGTTATCGAGTCTAGTTTTAAATCATGTTTTTCTGTTCCTTTATGGTTATATGTTGCTATTGTCAAAGACTATCGTGGTTTCTTTTTGTTCTAATGAAATACTTTTTTCATCAAAAAATGGGCAAATTTCTTAAACTACCCTTATGGTTTAACTAATTGACTAAGCGTACTCTTACTGTTTGAAAATTGACTAACGCTACCCTTACTGCTTCTAACAATTGACTAACTCTACTTTTACCTTTAGCATCTGTTAACTTTCCATTACATGTGATATCATGTGACTAATATATGGGTAAATTTTTTAAACTATCCTTATGGTTTAGTTAATTGACCAAGTATATCCTTATTGTTTAAAAATTGACTAACACCACCTTTACTGTTTCTGACAATTGACTAATACATCCTTTATTGGTAGTGTCCGTTAACAAAATATAAAAAGACTATTTTACCCTTTATTTTTCTTCAAAATTTCAAAATAAAACAGAGAAAAGGAGACAATCTGCTATGACAATCTACTGCCCATCTCGGCAGCCCCAACAATTCAGATATAACAATTTGAATCCACCACCTTCCATATATACAAAAATCTTCAGTTACTCACGCTGAACCTACTGCACTTGAACGAACACAGAAGCAGTTTTGGAAGCAAGATATTTAATAAAAAAACAGAAAATGCAAAGACGGAGTAGCGGAGGTCGTCTCCAAACAGTTCCGGCAGTGAAACACACAGCTCGTCTCTGCATCCTATAGCGCATCTTCCTTTCTCGCCAATGATTGTGAATCAGCTCGTCTCCGGCTGTTGTTGCTGCCTAAAAAAGCAGAAAATGCAAAGTGGAGCTCATCTCCAAACAATTCTGGCAGTGAAACAAACAGCGAAGCATACACCCCCTCCGTGGCTGCTGTTGTTGCCCAAACCGCCATCCAAGCGCCGCCACCACCACCACCTCCAGCACTACGCGTCGGTCCCATTTCTGTTGAGACTAAATCCACCATCCCTGTATTATAGAACGAAGAGGGGAAGGGGCGGACGAAGATGCCAGCCGGTGCTAGAGAAACAGGCGGTGAGATGCGAATTCCGGAGATGCCATCCCTATATTGTCGGTTCTGTCTCTTCGCATTTCAAGATAGTGTTGGATCTCCAGTAGAGAAATAGGCTTTTTCTCTTATATTTCTTCTTTTTGTTCTTTGTTCTCATTCATCTTCGTATACATGGTTGTTGTTCAGTTTTGGCTTGATTGTTTGATTGGTTTCAAGTTCTTTAATGGCGACGGAAGATACTAAGAGTTAGAGTAGCAGAGCACTGGATTCACCGCCTACTCACCCTCGTTAACAAAGGCAGAAGCTTGAGGTTTATAACGAGGTACTTCGTAGGCTCAGAGAATCGAAGAGTGAGGAGGCAAATGCTCCTAATTTTGAAGATGAACTTTGGAACCATTTCAACCGACTACCCACTAGGTACCGTAACCCTAGTTGTTTTTGTTTACTCTCTTCTTGTTTTTATTCCACTTTCTGCTTCACTAGTGTTCTTATTTTATTGATTTTGTTGAGACTATCTTGAAACGCGAAGAGACTAAATCCACCATTCCTGTTGAGACTAAATCCACCAGCCGGTGTCGGAGATGCCAGTGCAGGTTCCAGTGCATCAGAGCCGGTGCTAGAGGGAACGGTGAGATATTCCATTAAGGTAAGGGGAATATTAGTCAATTATGAAAAGGAATAGCATTAGTCAATTTTTAAACAGAGTACACTTAGTTAATTAGCTAAACCATAAGGATAGTTTAAAAAATTTATCCCTAATACATTTATCAAAAATTCTGAAAATACCCTTCCCACCTCCATTCCTAAAACCCCTACATCTACAACTGCAAGTGCTGCAAGGGAGGTGGCTATGGCACTGTCGACAGCAAACATCCTTGCTCCTCTCTGCCTTTCATGCTTGGCTGCTGTCCCCCTTCTCTGCCATCTCCACCATAATGTCTTCGAAAGGATCCATTGCTTTGCAGGTTGGACAGCCTTCGGTCTCCTCTAGACCTTCGTCATCCTCACCTTCTACTAAATAGAATCTAAAATTTACAACCTACGCAGCTCTAAATTGGTAAACAAGCAAGAATTCTGATTCACATTAGCCATCACACTTCTAATTATCGTTCCATGGGTTACTATGAGATCAGTTCCAGTCAAGGTCTCGGCTCCTTTTGGCCATTCCTTGATTATCAAGTTCCAGGGTGGAATTTACGAGTGACTAAAACCCAGGCAAAGATGCTGGAGACGGTTTCCGTCGTGCCGTGAATGGTCGGAAGGATGCTCTTGCACTGCAAGTCCCTGGGGCGATTCAAGCACAATGGGGGACGCATTAAGGCTATGCTGGAAGAAGCAAAGAATGAGCAAAAATCTGGTCGTCGCCGTACAAGTGGTATGAGCAAAATTTGGTTGTCGCCTTACAAGGAGTCTTCTTCAATGCCTACTTTCTGGGTTACTTGATCTCTCCCAGATTTGCTCACTGTGTGGTGGGGCACCTAGAAATGGGGATCGAAGGAGCTAACCATCATCCATCAAAGCTTGGAATTGCTTGATCTGTCTTGAGTGGCGCTACCCATTTTCTATTTTCGCCAAAATTTCTGTTAAATGTAGTTATTCAAGGACCCTTTTTTCTAAAATATTAGTTTTTCTGTCTCCCCTGTTTTCGAACGATGGAAAAGAAGACCATTAAAGAGAAAGAAAATGATGACATAGAAGCTGACCCCAACCAAAAGAAAAAGAAAACAAGGGAGCATTAATAAATGTAGGCCTCCTCAGACTCCTCCCCTCCCTCTCCCTACAATTCAAATCCCACCTTCGCTTTGCTTCTCTTTAATTCAGAAAAAAAAAGCAGTTAGACCCAATCTGAGCAGAGTCAATCTTTTAACATCTTTATAGAAAATTTGAATTGTTGTTATACCCAATCGGAGCATAGCCAACCTAAACACAAAAATGCTGATGGTGGCTATGAAGAGAAGCGGAGATGATGGAGTGGAGCAAGGAAGGAGAAAAGGGGGGAGGGGATGACGTCAGTGAACTATGGAGTCGATCTAGGAATTGTTGCCGCTGTGTTGAGGAAGACGTGAATGAACTATGATTGTAATTTTTTTTAATTATTAATGAAAATCATATCAAATTAGCTTGAGTGGGAGAGGCCATGGAGTGGATTTGGGGACCTCAACCCTCGATTTGTGTTGTTGAGGCAATCAATCAAAGCTTTCTTCAAGTTAAAAATTTCATTGTTGCTGGGATGAGAGGTTTTTTTATCTGCAAAACATTGTCATTCGAGCTGCCATCCGCTTTCTCTTCCTGAATCTTTTTATTAATTGGGTTTTATTTTACAAAATTTGAGAAATAGTGGAGGGCAAATTTGACATTTCATTTCTTTTTCATATATATCTGTTGACACATGTTAATGACTAGGAAGGATTAGTCAATTGTCAGAAATAGTGGGGGTAACATTAGTCAATTTTCAAATAGTAAGGGTACACTTAGTCAAGTAAACCATAAGGGTAGCGATGAGGGGTAATTTGGTCCTCCCAAAAAAGTGGCGACACGTGGCCCTTATCGACATCTTAGCACTGAGTTAGCAGACCAACTCGACAGGTTAGCTTGGAGCACCTCGCACAGCCCGAACTCGACCTCGGCAAGGGCAAGCTAGTAGAGCCCGTGAGATCACTTGCAACTTGGCCAAGAAGCCAACCGAGTTGAGGTGAGCTAAGGCAGCCTACAAGGGTGAGCTTGCTAACCATTTTCGTAAACTCACTACCGAAGGCATCAGTATCATGACCATTAGAACAGCTCGTCGTACCATCACCAGACTCTACTCAAACGAACTATAACTTCCGCGCGGAACTCATAACTGAAACATTAACCTGGCTACGACTCATTAGGTCCCGGTTCTCATTAATACGCATACCTATCTTGGATGAGAACCAGCATTGCGTTGATGGCGTGACACATAATAACCAACTCCCAGTAGAAAGCCGAGCTATGGCCCCTGTCGGCAGAGACACCACTAGCTCGTCTGAAGGCACTAAGAAGAAGCATAAGAAGCGAGCACACCACGCTGGAAAGAAAAGCCAACTCGCCCTGGCAGGGAGTGTGGTCCAAAGGAAGGAAAATAGTAAAGTTACAAGAAGGATAGATATCCTATCTGAACCATCATGCTTGACTAGGGAAGCCCCCTTAGCACCAGAAATCCTTGAAGCACCAAGGCCAAAGGACTTTACGGCACCTAACCTCAAGTCTTATAAAGGCAAGTCAGACTCGATCGAGCATGCCAACAACTTCCAAGCTTCTATGTTACTTCACGGGGCAAACGACGCAAGTATGTGCACCGCTTTCTCGACAACCTTAAAAGAAGAAGCATGGCTCTGGTATTTGAGACTGCCCCTTGGCTCCATCAAAAACTGGGACCAGTTCGCCCAAATGTTCATCAATCAGTTCACCATAAGCAAGATGCACTCAAAGTCGGCAACCTGTTTGCTAAATGTGATATAGAAACCCCATGAAACACTAAGGGACTACATCAAAAGATTTAATATGGAGTGCCTCCAGATCTCGGACCTGGACCCCGCTGTGCAGCTTATTGTAGCCAAGAATGGAGTACAACACCCCAATATGCAATGGGAAATTGAATTGATTCTACCAACGACAATGGAGAAATTTCTCGACATAGCAAACCAGTTTATCAAGGCTGAAGAAGCCTTGGGATTGAGGTCCGAGATGTATGGAAAAAGGAAGCGAGCAGAGGAAGAAGCAAGCAGCAGTAAAACCAAGAGAAGAAGCAAGTCACCAAAGAGGAGTAGATCGCCGAAGAGCAGACGCAGCAGCTCACCGCGCAGGAAGAGCAAGTCGCCAATTAGAGGTTCAAACAAGTAGTTAAGGACCCCATCTGTGTACACTAGGACCTTTACTCCCCTGAATATAAAAGGGGGGAGATCCTAATGCAAATTAAGTCAAATGGTTATGCAAAGTGGCCTCCCAAGATGAGGGGGGACCCAACTACCAGAAACCCAAACAAGTACTGCCATTTCCACAAGGATGTCGGCCATGATACAGAGAACTGTTGGAACCTCAAGAATGAGATAGAAGACCTCATAAAGAGGGGATACTTGAGACAATTTGTTAAAGACGAGTAGTGACCTAAAGAAGGAACAAGCAGAGAAGCACCCCAGGTTAACAGGGAACAGGACCCAGCTCCCCGGAATCAACAATAGCCAGAAAGACCAGTTTAAGGGACCATAAACATGATCACTAGTGGCTCAATCATTGCTGGATGCACCACTTTAGCAAGCAAGAATTCAATAAGGGAATTAGGGGAGGAAGGCAGCAACCCATCAAAGCGACCCAAAAAAGAAGAGGTAATTTATTTCACTGAGGATGACATGCGTGGGATCCAATACCTGCATGATAACGCCTTGGTGGTTAGATTGCTCATCAATGACTTCAGGGTGAAAAGAATCCTTGTTGACTCTAGCATCTTGGCAAACGTTTTGTTCCTCAAAGCCTTTGAGCGCATGGAACTCAGCAAGACAGATTTACAGCTGCCAACATCCCACTAATAGGCTTCAACGGCGAGGTGGTCCGCCCCGTCGGCAAGGTGAGAGTCCCAGTTAAGATGGGCAAGCCCCCTCACACCATGCGATTCGACCAAGATTTCCTGGTAGTCGCCACCCTGTCCCCTTATAATGCGACATTAGGCCGACCTATCCTGCATACTCTCCGAGCGGTTGTTTCGATGTACCACCTGGCGGTAAAATTCCCTACAGACATGGGCATTGGCGTATTACGGTGTGATCAGTTAGAATCCCATAAATTCTACGTAGCTACCCTAAAAGCCAAGGGCAAGATTGCCACCAACATAGATTTGGAGCCACCTCCAAAAAATGTTGAAGAGCGAGCTCAACCTACAGAAGAGACCATTCCGGTACCAGTCTCCAAGACAAAACCCGAGAAGACATTACAAATTAGAGCTCACCTGATAGAACTTGTGCACTCCAAACTGGTAAGTTTTCTGTTAAGTAATTTAGATGTGTTTGTCTGGTCGACTACAAAAATGCTCGGCATAGACCCTGAGCTCATAATTCATAGACTTAACGTTGACCCTATAGTTAGACCCGTTCGGCAGAGGAAAAGAAACCTCGCCCTAGAGAGATAGCAAGTAGTATATGAAGAGGTGGTGAAGCTGCTGACAGTAGGCTTCATAAAGGAAGTTCAGTACCTGAGTTGGGTAGCAATCCAGTTCTGGTAAAGAAGGCCAATGGCAGGTGGTGTATGTGCATCGATTACACAGACCTAAACCGAGCTTGCCCGAAGGACAGTTTTCCCTTACCCTGCATAGATTGCCTAGTGGATGCGACCTCAAGATACGAGCTACTGAGCTTTATGGATTCCTATTCTAATTATAACCAGATCCTGATGGACCCTTTAGACCAAGAAAAGATAGCTTTTGTAATTGAGATGAGTTATACTGTTATAAGGTCATGCCCTTCAGACTAAAAAACACTAGAGCTACTTTCCAGCAACTTGTAAACTGTGTTTTTTTTTTATTTATTTGGAAGCAAAATGGAATGTTATGTTGATGATATGGTAGTAAAAACTTGTTTTTCAAATGATTTAGTTGCTGATTTGAATCTTGTCTTTTATGTTTTAAGGAAATACAAGTTAAAACTGAACTCGAATAAGTGCACTTTCGGTGTGACCATAGGAAAGTTCCTGGGCTACATCGTCAACCAACGTGGCATAGAGGCTAACCCAGAAAAAATCCAGGCAATCCTAGATATGCGACCCCCTAGCTCAGTTAAGGAAACCCAAAAACTAACTAGACGGGTAGCAGCCTTGAACCGGTTTATGTCCAAATCGGTTGGGAAGTGCCTTCCTTTCTTCAAGGCCATAAAGAAAAACCAGGCTTTTGAATGGACCAAAGAGTGTTAGATCGCCTTTGATGAGCTGAAAAGATACCTTAGTTAGCCTCCCCTGTTACCTCACCTAAGACCGGGGACGAGCTCAAACTTTACCTCTCTACGAGCGACGATGTGGTTAGTTTAGTCCTAGTAAGAGAAGTTGACAATGTGCAGCAACCAGTATACTACATGAGCAAGGTCCTGCATGTTGCTGAGACAAGGTATCCTGATATAGAAAAGCTTGCCTTTGCATTAGTGCTAATAGATCGAAAGATAAGGCCCTACTTTTAGGCCCATACCATCATGGTACTAATCGATCGAACTCTAAGGAAAATTCTCCAAAAACCCGAGGTCTCGGGGAGACTAACAAAATGGGCTATAGAGCTCAGCAAATACGATATTCGTTATGAGCCACGGCCAGCGATAAAAGCGCAGGTTCTGTCAGATTTTATTGTCGAGTGCACCTTCAGCTCACTAACCCCTAAAGTGGCTGAACTCACAATTGCATCGGAGGCTTCAACCAGTGCGGCACCGCCCCTAGCTCGTGAGATATCGAGCTAGGATTAGGAGCCTTGGATACTTCATGTGGATGGCTCGTCCAATCAGAATGGAAGTTGAGTTGGGTTGATATTCTATGGACATAGCGAGGTAAAGCTAGAGTACGCGCTCCGGTTTCAGTTCCGAGCTTCCAACAACGAGATCAAGTACAAGGCATTAATAGTTGGGCTGGCACTAGCGAAGGAGGTAGGAGCCAAGCATCACGTTGCTTGTAGTGACTCGCAATTGGTGGTGAATCAAGTGAACAGGGTGTACAAAGCACGAGAACCCTCCATAGAAACCTACTTGGATAAGGTCAGGGAACTCTTGCCAACTTCAATTCCTGGTACCTCCAGGAAGTTCTAAGATCGGAAAACACAGAAGTTGATGCCCTCTCAAGATTAGTGGGCATGATTAACTCAACAAAAAGAGCAGTTTACATAGAAGAGCTACCTTACCTATCAATAGAAAAGGGGTAGAAGAGGTCGCCCAAATAGTAACTATAGAACTGAGCTAGATAGATCCCACTTTTCAACTACCTAAAACAAGGCATATTGCCAGTAGAGAAGAATCTAGCTCCACGAATAGGACAACAAGTAGCTCGCTATGTGATAATAGGTGCTTGTGACAAACTAAAGCGAATCAGGTGCTACATGAAATCCCTGAGGGGCTCTGTGGGGGACACTTGGGGGGTAGGGCC